CCAGGTGAGGTCTGACCAGAGCAGAATACAGTGGCACTATTACTTCCCTTCATCTAGGTAGGCATTGTTGGATGCATTCAAGGCTGCCTTTGCTTCCTGGCTGAATGACACTGTTGCATTACATTGGAACAGGAGGCTTAGGCAGCTGTGCAACATATTATGGTCTGCATTCTGGTGTGCTCCAGATCCAGTTTGAAGCACGGCATAATCTCAATTCCTGTGCCATATTTCAGCTACTGTGGAGCATTTCTATAACATACTGCACACCTTTCCTGTTGGATGCCTTTTCCACATCATAGCTTCTCTTTCAGCTAATCACAACTTCCGACAGTTTTAGCTGAACAGTTTTTCTTTCACTTTCAGTTAATTTCACCTGCACGATGCACAGCTGAGAATTAGTGCATCAGGTTTGGCAACTAACATGCACATGCACATTGAAGACCACTATAATCTTCACCAGAGCAAAACGTATGTAAGAAAAAACCTTGCTTTACTCTGTGGCTCTTCCATCCTAATTCTTGCACAGAGGCAAGTGTGGTTGTGTCTCTGTGTGCCTTTCCCTGCCACCCTGCCTAGCCTTCGGGTGGAAAAGCTGACAGACACCGTTTTTCTCATGACCCTTGTTACCTCTGGCTTAAGGTATGGTTTTGCTTTTTAAAAAAATCTTTAGAAGCGATCCGTCCAAATGTAACACTTTTAGGTCATTTTCAGTAGGAAAGATTTAAGAATGGGTTGCATCTCCCCCCCCCCGGAATGGCTTAAAATAGTGATTCACTTGGGTTGCACACCCTGTTCTATGCATTTGTTGTTGAGAACTGGCGCATCTGGGACTCCTGGGCCAGGTGAGAGGGACGTTGGCTTTGCCTCTTGGCGGTTTGAGAAGCATCCCTGACCTTTGCAGGTGTCCACACACTTCCACGTCGCGCTCCTGGGATCGTGTGGGGACTAAGAGACGGCCGGAGGGGGGTCTGGCAAGCCCCTGGGCACGATCACCCTCGATTACGGGGAGCAGGGGGCTCTTCTGAGGGGAAAGCGGAGCGCAAGGGGGGGGGAGAGTGCGCTCCCCGCCAGAACCGAAAGGAAGAGCCGGTTCGGGGCGGGGGGGAGCCAGAGCAGCGGCTGCCCCCCTCCCAGCTCCCACGGGACCTTCCGCCTGAAGGAAACCCTTTTCCACTTAGCTAACGGAGAGCTCACAGCAACTCGGGAATACAGGAAGCCCACTGAGTCACATCACACCATTTGATCCATCTAACTCTGTCTTGTCTGGAGTATTGATGGCAGTGGCTCTCTAAGGTTTCAGAAGAGACCTTCTTAGTCCTACCTGGAGATGATGAGGACTGAACCTGAGATATTCTGCAGGTGAAGCAAATGCACCAGCCCTGAGCAGTGGCCTTTCTCTGTGTAACTGGCATGACCTGGGTCTAAGTCAATCAGTTCTAAATTCTGTTGGTTCTGGTGAGAGAATTAAACCCATGCTTAAAATCAGTAGAACAAGTAAATCCTTAGTGTTGGCTGGGTGAGGTGGTCCTTGTTTCAGAGATGCCCACGGTTCAAACTATTTTGCATTTCTTGAGGGTCAGCGTGGCAACAAGTTTCCATAGCAGACTAGGCTCCATTAGTATAAAGGTAAAGGGACCCCTGACCATTAGGTCCAGTCGTGGCCGACTCTGGGGTTGCGGTGCTCATCTCACTTTATTGGCCGAGTATATATACAGTGGTACCTCGGGTTACATACGCTTCAGGTTACATACTCCGCTAACCCAGAAATAGTGCTTCAGGTTAAGAACTTTGCTTCAGGATGAGAACAGAAATCGTGCTCCGACGGCACAGCGGCAGCGGGAGGCCCCATTAGCTAAAGTGGTGCTTCAGGTTAAGAACAGTTTCAGGTTAAGTACGGACCTCCGGAATGAATTAAATACTTAACCCGAGGTACCACTGTACCATTAATTCATATTCAGCCAATTGTAGGGCAGCTGCATGGTGGCTTCTCATAGACTGTCCGCAACTCTAAAGTGCTAGTACAGGCATAGGCAAACTTGGCCCTCCAGATGTTTTGGAACTACAACGCCCATCATCCCCGACCACTGGTCCTGTTAGCTAGGGATGATGGGAGTTGTAGTCCCAAAACATCTGAAGGGCCGAGTTTGCCTATGCCTGTGCTAGTACTTACTAGAAAAGCTTTAAATGGCCAGGTTTCTGCACGCAATTTCGGGAGCAAGTCTTTATAAACCAAGCCACCCCTCAAGATCAACAGAGTGGGTCCAGCTTGTAATTCCTTTTGTATGTGGAATGAGGTCAATGGGGAAGTGAATCAGGGTTTTTCCATCAGATGCACCACCCCTCTGGGTGACACCTGAGTTTTGATTTATTTTAGAAGCAGATCTGACTTTTCTATGTGGGTGAGGATTTGGTTCTGAAGTTTCAGTAGCGATATGCAGCGTTTGAAATGCACCTGGTGGATTTTGCAACAGGCCATCAGTCACTTGCGACCAAGTGAAGATGCTTACATGCCAGGATGGTGCCTGACGTCTACACCACCTGGAGGTGCCTGCCTGGAGATCCTTGGATCTGGACTGTTTTCACACACCAGCAACACATCCTTCAGAATTCCACCCATAATATTTTATCTGCACAATCGGAACGAATTTCAGGAACCCAAAAGTTGCATTGAAAAATGCGACTTTCAAACCGCCTGGCCAAAAATGGTAAATAGGCCTTCCGTTTTGGCGGCTGTGATACAAATCTAAGGTTGCTCCGGATTTGCTGATTAAGGCATCACTGGGGGGAGTTAAGGCTTCCAGGTGGAATTTTAAGGTGACACATCTCACACAGGCAGCGTAGTGCTTGTCCGGGTAGACTTTCTTCTTGACAAAGAAAGGATTATCAGGATGGGTCATTCTACACTATTGTTTCCTAAATTGAATTTCTTGCCTCATTTGTTGCTTATTGAGATTTCCACAAGCAATAGTTGCCAGGGGGAGTTGATAGTAAGCACCAGTGCTGCTTTGAAGAAGAAGAAAAGTTTTTTTTAAAGGCCACATTGATTGCAGGCGGAGATGAAACAGCTTATAGGAGGGAGGTTCAAAAAGTATCTACATGGTGCTTAGAGAATAACTTGCACCTAAATATTAGTAAGACAAAGGAGATGGTGTTGGACTTCTGGAGGAAAAGAGGGGAACCTTCCTGTTGTATATCAGGGGGTTGTGTGGAGAGAGTCTCCTCCTTTAAATTCCTGGGAGTTTACCTTAGTGAAGACCTCACTTGGAAAATCAACATAACTCAGGTGGTCAGAAAGGCCCAACAGAGACTCCATTTCCTCATGGTTTTGCAAAAGAATAATGTTAAACAACAACTGATGAACTCCTTTTACCGGTCCACAATAGAAAGTGTCCTTACATATTGTATCACAGTGTGGTATGCTAGCCTGACAGCCACGGGCAGAAAGTCTCTACGAAGGGTGGTGGATACAGCACATGATATCATGGGCTGTCCCTTGAATCCGCTAGATGACATCGCAAGGGATCATTGCCTTAGGAGAGCGAGAAAAATTCTCAGGGATGACTCACACCCCGGCTAGCACCTCTTTAATCTTCTACCCTCGGGCAGGAGATATAGAAGTATAATCAGCCGTACCAACAGGCTAAAAAATAGCTTCTATCCGTGGGCTGTTAGGCTGTTGAACGAAAAATAACATAGCAAAATTGACCTGCAAGGTGGTGTGTTGTTTGATAAGAGATTGAGTGTTTGGGGGGGAGGGAGGCTCGTTTAATTTCATTGTACACAGGTTGTACAATGACAATAAAGGTATTATTATTATTATTATTATTATTATTATTATTATTATTATTATTTTCTCTTGAAAATAAATGGTCACTTATATGAAACAGCAGCAATAAATGAGGCACTTATATGAAACGTGCATTGCCTCACAGGGTGGCAAAATCTCCCTCTTCTCCTGGCCTGCCTTTTTTGCAGTCCAGCAGGCAAACTATTCCATTTCACAAGCAATTCCAAACTGTTTGACAACGCAGCACAGCAGTGGCGCAGTCCCAGAGTCATTTAGATAACCATGGGTGCAACACACATGGGGTGGCTTGTGTACGAGAGGCAAAGACAGTCTGTCCTGTTATGCCACCTTAAGGGATGGTCTCATGCTCACTGCTTCTGCCATTATCCCTTGCCATTTGGCTCCTCCCTTACCTGAACTGTTTCCACCAACCACCATTCTACCTGGCTGCTTCAGAGGTGCCAGAAAGGCTGTCGTCTGTTGACCTGGCTGGGGCCAACTTCAGCTTGGCTCTTGCCACCCCCCAACTGCCTTTGTCAGTGGCCACTCCACCTTGTCTGACTGTGCGCCAACTCACAGCATAATGCCATCAATTTGGTGTGTGCATCCATACTTTTACTCAAGCATCTCACAGTGGCATGCAGCCCTCTCTTAATCTTCAACCCATTTCCCTCCAGTGACAAATGAGCCTTAGGCTTCTATTGCCGTAGAGCCAGCACAGGGACCTCCTTCTATTTAAAGCAGAGCAGGATTATAGGGGAAACTTTCCAGCTCCTATAAGGGTGCAGAACCGCCTCCTCCGATAAGCACTCCCCACTCATTAGAGAGTTTCTAAAGGCCTCTTTACAGTTGGGTTCTTTGAGTGATTTTATGATACCCCCTTCTCGTTTTTTTTAAAAAGCAGCCTCTTGATTTCCGTGAATTAAATGACAGCACATATTGCAATCACTCTCTTGATTTCTCTTAATGCCTTACAGCTGTACTTGGCTGCCAGTGATGTCACCAAGCCATAATATGCATTCACTTCTGGTTAAGCAAGAGGGAAATACTTGATAAAAATGTCAACTGTGGGCGTACAACACGCGAAGGGCTTGTTTTTCTAAACCGATGGCAGGACAACATTAACATTAGATTGACTGGTTATATTTTCACCCTCTGGGGTGTAGAACTGAGCCACCCACACCTTCCTCTTCTTTTTCTTCTTTAATCTTAGGGATGAGGCAGGGGAATGATTTCGGCACACAGTATCGGTCTGCCATCTACACGTTTTCCCCAGAACAGATGGAGGCTGCTTTGAGATCCAAAGAAGATTACCAAAAGGTAAGGCTGAGCAAAACTTAACAGTGAGGGGGACCTTCAGGTCCCCCACAAGCACCCGGCCTTTGGGGGGAAAATCCATCATCAACTTTTTAGCCATCAGGCTGTGCTTTGCTGCAAAGCTTCGCAGAGTCTAAGTACCGTGAGTTTTCCAGCCTTCCTGGAGACTAGCTCCCTGTTGGGTTTCCTGCCTGGCTATTAGTGCACTCACATGAGAGATCCTTTTGGCCTCGCTATACTTGTTTCATGGTGTCGCATCTAGCAGAAGAGAGAATTCATCACTCTGAACCGTGAACTCCATGCTGATGTTGCCATCTCTCCCTGTTGGAACATCTGGGGTTTGCATGACATTGGTTTATACTGTTGCAGCTTCTTCTTCTTCTGCATTTAAATCTGCCGGCATTATCCTTTTTTTCTTAACGCTTTTGGCAGTCATAGTCAAAAAGAACTCAGCACCAGAGCAATGCTTTTCATATTCCTCCCCCGAGGGAGCCCTTTCCTTATCTGTTTGCTTGCCACTGAGTCTATGCATTTCTCAAGGAACCTATGTCAGATTCAGAGTCCCATTCAGCAGTGCCCTTGCTGTTTGCACAGGGCACTGGCCAAACCTCTTGGGCTTTACCATTGGCCCATGTCAACCCAAGCCTTCATTAATGATCTTTTTCCCGGAGGAACCCCTGATAAGCTTCTAAGGAAGCCTAGAAACAGTTTGAAGAATGCACTAGAGAGAGATACTTCAACAGTATGTCAGTTCCCAGCTCTGTAGTCAGACATGGGCTTACATCAAGGAGGTTGTCTCCATAGTTTTTGTCTAGGGGTATCTTGGAAGGTTGTTGGGAATCGCACTTGCTGGGAATCGCAGTTGGGGAGAGTGCTGTTGTGCTCAGATCCAGCTTTCGGAAGTCCCATAGGCATCTGGTTGGCTGTTGCTGAACCAGATGGGCCATTGGCCTGATCCTGCAAGCTCTTCTTAAGGTGTAAAGCCCTCAAGAGTGACTGGCAATTGGTAAGTTGGCCACTTCCTTACATACTAAAGCACTCAATAGCATCATCCTTGCACACCTGAGACCTTCTCCTGCAACCATATGTTTTACCTCTGACTTCTCACCCCCAAACATATTGGATTTGCTCTCTTTGTCAGCTGGTAACCTTTTGAAACGGGTTTACCGGGTAGTTTTTCCTTCCCAGAGGGCTGTGGGTAGTTCTAGTTATGTCGTTGGCATTCTTGCTCTAAGTGCTGTTATTTGATTTAAATCCTGGAGAAAGTTGAAAGAACAACTCTTTCCTTCCTCACATCCAGAAATTTGCCTTGATGAATGCCAAACGGAGGGGGTGAGGATAGGTCGAGGGGGACAGGACAGTGCAGTACCAGACCTATAGATTTAGGATTGCTTGGCACAGATTGTCAGCTGTGTCCTGTGAAGGGTTAAGCAGATTTTAAGCTGGCAGGTTTGACTCTCTTCATTGCGCCCACAAGCTGAGGTTCAGTGTCCGCAGCTCCCCTCCTGGTGTGCTCAGCCTGGAGCTGGCAGTCCTGTCATTGTCTGTCTGTTTTGGGCTGCCAACTTGGATGGATAAGTACTGGCCTGTGTCTGACTGATAGGAGGTCGGACGTGACCGCGTGACCACGCAAGCGTTGGCCCTCTAATCAGGGATGGCAGCCTGATTTGTGAGGGTCTCTATGCTTCTAGCCAGTCCTTTGCTTCCCTTTCCTCCTTACTGATGGGATACCTTTCCATAGGCAAAGGTTTTGGGTGGGGTGGGGTTTGCGCATACGGGTACATTCAATGCAGTCGATTCCTACTTGCAGCCCAAGATGATACAGTCTCAAGAGAGTCTGTACCCCATGCATATTTGACTTCCTTAAAGGAGGAGACTGAAGAGGCTTTCGATGAATTGAAAGAGGTGATGCTGTTCACCAGACTCTTTCTCAGTGTCTCTTTATCTCTGGAGTGGTTCATTTTACTACTTATTCCATGTATACCTCGTTGTTCTCTTTTTCGCCTGACTCCAGGCTGTTCCCTCGCTTCCTCCCATGCTAATATTCTTGCATTTTAATTCGGCGGTTCCCCTTTCTTTACCATTTTTCCTGCTTATCAGCACAGATGTTTCTTGAAAGATCAAGTCAGTGGAATTATTCATAGGAAGTTTAAATGAAACATGTTTATCTGTTCTTGGGACAATATTGTCCTTAATTTAGGTAATGTGCAGTGTCTTCTGGAAAAAAATGAGCCCTATCGGGGCTTCAGTACATATGGAATTGCAGCCTTAGATATTCAATATACAGTATGTTAAATAATCTTTCTGCAATCTCAGTGAATGAAGGGTGCAATTTAGTGTCGTTTAGCTGTAATTTTCAGCGAGCAACTTCCAGGCAAAGAGAGTCAGTTGCAGCAGAAAAAGAACCAGGAGGCTTGTGGCACATTAAAGGATAACCAGTATTATTATAGCATAGGATTTTGTGAACTAGAGACCGCTTTAGCAGATGTGGATGTTAAGCAGCTGCTTAGGGCTTAAGTCATAAGGAGTTTCAGGGTGGGGATTTCTCTCACTGTCCTTCTGTGGTGCAACAAGCGCGCCCTGGAGAATCCGGGGCAGTTGCTTTTGCTTTTGTAGGAGTCTTGGTTGACCACAAACTTGACATGAGCCAACAGTGTGACGCGGCAGCTAAAAAAGCCAATGCAATTCTAGGCTGCATCAATAGGAGCATAGCATCTAGATCAAGGGAAGTAATAGTGCCACTGTACTCTGCTCTGGTCAGACCTCACCTGGAGTACTGTGTCCAGTTCTGGGCACAAGAAGGACACTGACAAACTGGAACGTGTCCAGAGGAGGGCAACCAAAATGGTCAAAGGCCTGGAAACGATGCCTTATGAGGAACGGCTAAGGGAGCTGGGCATGTTTAGCCTGGAGAAGAGGAGGTTAAGGGGTGATATGATAGCCATGTACAAATATATAAAAGGATGTCACATAGAGGAGGGAGAAAGGCTGTTTTCTGCTGCTCCAGAGAAACGGACACGGAGCAATGGATCCAAACTACAAGAAAGAAGATTCCACCTAAACATTAGGAAGAACTTCCTGACAGTAAGAGCTGTTCGACAGTGGAATTTGCTGCCAAGGAGTGTGGTGGAGTCTCCTTCTTTGGAGGTCTTTAAGCAGAGGCTTGACAACCATATGTCAGGAGTGCTCTGATGGTGTTTCCTGCTTGGCAGGGGGTTGGACTCGATGGCCCTTGTGGTCTCTTCCAACTCTATGATTCTATGATTCTATGTTCCTTATCTGACTTGTGGACTGAGTCAGTGGGGATCAGTGAATTGCCGATCAGCATGTTATACCTGCTTTTCTCAGTATTCAATGTTTTTGGCTGGGAAGGTGGGCTGGAGGAGCTTGTAAATATTCCCACAGAGAAAAAACAAAAAAAATCCTTCCAGTAGCACCTTAAAGACCAACTAAGTTAGTTCTTGGTATGAGCTTTCATGTGCATGCACACGAAAGCTCATACCAAGAACTAACTTAGTTGGTCTTTAAGGTGCTACTGGAAGGAATTTTTTTTTTGTTTTGACTATGGCAGACCAACACGACTACCTATCTGTAACATTCCCACAGAGGTCATTGCCTGGGCTCAAGCCCACAGCTGGTTCTGAACATGGGACACAAAGGGTGTCAGGCAGCAATTCAGACTTTGTGGCACTGTCCAGCTCTGTCTGAAGAAGAGAATTGCAGAGCTGTGGCGCTGTGGGTAAAAGCCTCAGCGCTTAGGGCTTGCCGATCGAAAGGTCGGCGGTTCGAATCCCCGCGGCGGGGTGCGCTCCCGTTGCTCGGTCCCAGCGCCTGCCAACCTAGCAGTTCGAAAGCACCCCCGGGTGCAAGTAGATAAATAGGGACTGCTTACTAGCGGGAAGGTAAACGGCGTTTCCGTGTGCTGCGCTGGCTCGCCAGATGCAGCTTTGTCACGCTGGCCACGTGACCCGGAAGTGTCTCCAGACAGCGCTGGCCCCCGGCCTCTTGAGTGAGATGGGCGCACAACCCCAGAGTCTGTCAAGACTGGCCCGTATGGGCAGGGGTACCTTTACCTTTACCTTACCATCAAGGAAGCCTCTAAAGAAACTTATTTTATTTTATTTATTGAAATAGACTGTACGTAAACCACACTTTCATAAAGTATATCATAAACTTTACGACATGCAAAATAGAACGAAAGCAGTAAAGGCACCCTTAAATAGGCTAAGGACCAGTCTGTTTCTGGTCTCGGTTGATTTCACACATGCTTTTTCATTCTGCTTTTTTCTTTTCTTTTTACGTATGCAAGTTTTTATTTAGACGTTACTTGAATATATATGTTATCACAACATTTTGATTAAGGACTACTTTAGTTCAATGCATTCATTTCTAAACATAGTTTATCATAAAGCACGTATTTCTTTTAATGCATTTGGGTACATTTTAGAGCTAAAATCTGTATCATAACATTTGGAGAAGAGCAAAATCCAAAAACAATTACATTCCAGTCTGTGTGTTAGTCTGGAAGGTGTGAATCAGGTTAGTTTGCTTGAACATGCAGATCAAACAAAATTCTCCTCCGTCCCTTTAGTAGGCCAGGGTAGTTCAAGTAATCTCTGACCCCTAGAAAGCCTTCTGATCTGCTCCATCCACCAACAGAATTGTAAGATCCATTGCAGCAGACCCCGTCCAGGGTCACCTGTTTCTCAGCAAGGCTCTGTTGCCTCTACTCTGACCAGTCACAGAAGGCACATGTCAATTGGGTGCAGATCCCTACAATCTCTTAGCCCAAGGGATGCCACAGATAGGCTAGTTCCTTAGCTGGTTCTGGCACGTGTGGTGGTGTGCCAGGAATATCTGTGGGTTGCACTTCATGGCCCTGGACACTTGCACGGTGTGCTCCAAAACATATTTGCCTCGAATCCGCATTAATGGCATTAATATATTTGACTCTGCAGTTGTTGCTCATGCTAAATAGCCCATTTATCTCTCTGTGCAACTGT